ACATGGAAGACATTACCACCACCAAGTTTCTAAAAGATAGCAAACATATGCCAGAAAACAAAACCACTCTGAAGCAATACAACGGTAGCCAACCTCAACAGCTAAATGCACGGGAATGTTTAGATAGAATTTCCTCTAAAAATAGTATCCCAAAAAAGTTAAACCTGTATATACACGGTTCATAACCACCAAACATGACTCACAAATTGAATGAAATCATTTATCAATTACCGCCACAACATAAATGAATTCCATAACAACATACAAATGAAGTAAAGACAAAACGGGATTACCAATTACATTCAATTTATAGAAAGCAAAAAAGCCTAAAGTATAAAAAGTCTAAGCAATTGACTAAAAAACTTAATTCAATTTAGTACTCTAATTTCAATTCTAGAATAACATATTATCAATCCAATGTATATGCATTTAAGTACAATTTTCAAGCAAAAGAATAATAGCAATGAATACAAATCCAAGTTGAGTATTTCAAATTTATTGTCTTCCTCAAAATAAAAAGAATTCTCTAGCTTGAAAGTTGTGATATGAGCTCTAGTTAAAGCAAAAGAAATGCAATTCTAAATCCACACAATACCTCAATTTCGATAAAACTCAACAAACTTTAATTGAAACATAATTTCAACACATTATACCTATAAAAATGAGTACACAGTAAATTCATACCGATCAAAAGAAAATAGAATGATGGAGCATACAATATTTCTCTTAAGCATTCCAACAAACATTTGATGTCCATTATGGTTGACAGCAAATCAACACCTAACTAACAACTTTTGTGTGTGCGATTTCAATTTGTGGGTATGTGTAATTGTGTGTGTTGGGTGTGTGTGCTAGGTGTGTATTTGTGTGTTGTACTACGGCTAGGGGTTTGTGCGTGTGCGAAGTGTGGGGGTGTAGGTTGTGGGTGGATGTGTGCGATATTGTGTGTGTGTACATTTTTCGTAATTTATGAAAAACAGGGGTTGAGGGGGGAATTTTGTGTGTGTCGTGTTTGTGTATGGTGTGTTGTGTGATGAAGACAGAGAGAGGCATATGAAGAGGGCAAGAGAATGAGAGAGAGAAATCACCACCAAACTCGAACTTAAAAGGAAAAAGAAATTTATTACCAAATATTTTTCTATGGCATTTCAACAAACACTTCATGTGCCATGGATTGGAGCTGTTGGGAAGGGGTATGGTCATGCTGGTAACCGAAGATGGAAGAAAAAGAGGGGAAAAGAGAAAGAGAGAGAGAGAGAGGAGAGGGACAAAGAGAGAGATACCTGGAGAGTGAGAATTGTCGTTGCTGGCGACATCTCTGCTGGCAGCGTGAGAGTGAGAGAGGAACAGAGCTGTGGTGGGTTGCTGTTTGGACAAACAAAGAAAAGAGAAATATAGATCAGAGAGAGGGGTTAACGGTCGGGTGAGAAGGGAGGAGAGAGAAGGAGGGAAATTTGGGGAAGAGTGCTAGATAGAGATGGATTTAGGGGAACGTATAGGGGAAAAATGACTTTGAAATGGTGTTTGTGAGTGATAAATGATGAATTTGGGGGAAAAGAATAGGTAATTGGTGGCTGAATTGTGACCGTTCGATCGACTTATTGAAGTTCACTGTGTTTTATATTATAGATTTTGGTATAAATTATTTTATGCATAAGGATGTTTATTTATAGTATAAAAGAGTAGTGAAGTTTACTAATTTAAACGAAGTGGAACAATTATATATACATTAACAAAAAAAAAAAAATTATTAGTAATCACATAGCTATGGTCCCCAATTAGACCCAATCAAGGTAAAGGGATACTCCACACAACATCTCAAAGGCAAGAGAGCATTGGATCATCTCCTAAAAAAATACAATATTCCATGTTAGTACACTTGGATGACCTGAATTTAAAATTTAGTAATTTTTTTTTAAGATAAGTAAGATCTACTTTTGATTGAACCAAGAGAATTAATTAAAGTGTGTATAAGTTGATTCAGAAAAAAAAAAAAAAAAAAAAAAAAAATTTACCTTGTATCCCAAAAATATTTAAAATTTTCTATTTTACACTCTAAAAGGTTAAGTATCTCATAATTTTCCATTAACCGTATTAAAAACGTTTTAATGTAATCCTTTCGTTACTTTCTGTTATTTATTCTGTCAAAATTTACTACATTAGTGTTGACAAAATGAGTATTAAAAAATAACAACAATATTCTAACATTTTTAATATATTGAATATTCAATGTAAGAAATTTAATAATGCAATTGGCCCAAAAAATAATAAATAAATTAATTAATTAACTTTAGAAAACCGAATGGGAAATCTATCCCCTTATCCGGACCCAACACCAATCCACCAAAACTGTAAACAGCGCAACACAGACTTTGCGCTTCAGAACAACTCTGGACATGGCCGGAGTACTTGGAACTTCCTCTTCAGCAATCTTCGCCTCTAGACCCCTTTCTTCTCCCTCCTCTAAATCTCCCATTTTCCCTCTCTTCCCAAGTCCAGGTAAATTTCTCGGTGTTTATATGTGTATATGCGCTTATGCATGTGTTCATATTTTTGTGACCCACTTCATTACTTTGCTAAATCATTCTTTTTGAGCTACATTCTTGGATTTGGGTGTGTAAAAACACAACCCAGTTCACTCATAGTGTTTCTGTGTAGTTGAATTGCAAATAATGTTGAATTTGAGGCCTGTGATGATAATAAAGGGATGGGTTTGAGGGGATTACATGGGGTTGTGTTGATAAATTGAGTTATTTCAGGGCAGGGTCAAGGGAGGAAGTTCTATGGAGGGATTAAGAAGGGCAGATCTCGATTACATGTTTCAATTTCCAATGTTGCCACTGAAATCAGCCCTGCTCAAGCACAGGTACCAGTTTTCTAAATCAGGGTGTTTGTAATATGATGAATTTTGATAAAGGAAATTGGAACATGATTTATGTATTTACATGTTAGCTTTGAGTGTGATCTGGGTAACTTTCAATGTAGTTAATTTTTGTGCACCGTATGAGTGTTGTGCTACATTCATACTGTGTGCACTGGGTACGTCCTTTTTTTTTAGTATGAATGTTATGCTATATTTATAGATAGAGGGGCAAGTTTTTACCAATTTGATTGCTCAAATTTTCATGATGGTCATAAATATTTTTTTGCCTTTTCGAGTAGAGTTGGGGATTAATATGGAGCACTTTAGTTGCTTGCGAAAAACATTTCGTGATTGCACAAAACAATGTGTTAGTGAACACTATCTTAGGAAATGTTCTAATAATAGATGAATGAAAGCATTGCTTTTTGAAGACAATGTCATGGCGGATATTTTGTCAGAATGTTGAATTGGCATCTTTAAAGTTTGGGAAGTTTGTAAATCTCAGGCTCAGAAGCTTGCCTCAAAGGAGACTCAACGGCCAGTGTATCCATTTGCTGCTATAGTAGGACAAGACGAAATGAAATTGTGCCTTCTGCTTAATGTGATTGATCCCAAGATCGGAGGTGTCATGATTATGGGTGATAGGGGAACGGGGAAGTCCACTACTGTTAGGTCATTAGGAGACTTACTTCCTGAAATCCAAGTGGTTTCTGGTGATCCATTCAACTCAGATCCAGAGGATCCAGAATCTATGGGCATGGAAGTCCGAGAGAGAATTATCAAGGGTGAGGAACTTCCTGTGGTGATGACTAAAATTAACATGGTTGACTTACCATTAGGTGCTACTGAAGATAGAGTCTGTGGGACAATTGACATCGAAAAAGCTCTTACGGAGGGTGTGAAGGCATTTGAGCCTGGACTTCTTGCTAAAGCTAATAGAGGAATTCTCTATGTGGATGAAGTTAATCTCCTAGATGACCACTTAGTGGATGTTCTTTTGGATTCTGCTGCCTCAGGATGGAACACTGTTGAAAGAGAGGGAATCTCGATTTCACATCCCGCTCGGTTTATTCTCATTGGCTCAGGAAATCCTGAAGAAGGGGAACTTAGGCCACAGCTGCTTGATCGGTTTGGAATGCATGCCCAAGTGGGAACTGTAAGGGATGCAGAGCTTAGAGTGAAGATTGTCGAGGAGAGGGCTCGGTTTGATGGAAATCCTAAGGAATTTAGGGAATCTTACTCGGAAGAGCAGGAGAAGCTCCAACAACAAATTGACTCAGCCAGGAGGTCTCTTTCCGCAGTTCAGATAGATCACGATCTACGGGTTAAAATCTCCAAGGTTTGTGCTGAGCTTAATGTTGATGGATTGAGAGGTGACATAGTCACAAATAGGGCAGCAAAAGCATTGGCTTCTCTGAAAGGAAGAGACAAAGTAACAGCTGAGGATATTGCTACTGTTATCCCCAATTGCTTGAGACACCGACTACGTAAGGATCCCTTGGAGTCAATTGACTCTGGCTTACTCATCATTGAGAAATTCTATGAAGTTTTTAGCTGAGGAAGGTAGCAGACCTTTTATTTGTAATTTTTGTTGCACCGTTGCAGTTCAATTCAGTATTGTTGTTTTGGTACCTACAGTTTTCTGTTTCCATTTGCTCAGTATCTCTGAGTTCGTTTAAGGTTAGAATGCTCTAGTTACCTATGTTGTTGAGGAAGGATGTGGTTGGTTTTGGAAGAACTTATCCCATATATACAAGTTGACACATTGTAGTTTCTTTGAGAATTCTACTTCTCGAATTCAAAGATGTACTCTTTTGATTCACATGTAACCTCTCTAAATTTAATCGATTTCTAATGCTTGCCTTTGGTGTGATGGCTTATCCGCTGGTAAGTCTTTCACTTTCATCAACTGCCTATCAAAATCATACTCTGCCTTCCATTCTGAATTCTTGCTGTAGAGATGGTTGCTAGAAGAAAGACGGTTACTGATTTGCCAGCGGCTTCTTTTATTCCTGTGCATTTCGATATTAATCATTGTTCGTGTTTTTGTTGCTGGGAAAAACTTAACCTGTGCATGTGCAGGTTTGTTTGCCTCCTTCATTCGGTTTTTCTGGGAAGGCAGTTTGTGATATTGTTACTTTTAAGAGGTGAAAAACAGTGTTCTTGCTCTGGGCAGAGTTGCATCCAGTTTCATAACAAGCTTTACTAGCAGGTAGAATGTTCAACAGTGTTTGCATTGGTCATGTTTGTAAAGATTCCAATTTGATTTCACTAACATCTTCTGATCCTAACACCAATCAAATGGCTGAAATATTTCAATATTTAGGTATTCTGCCCGAAAAAACCTCCAGTTGATGCTGATTAGAATCATGTTGCATAGGTGATTAGAATCGGCCTCTGGATTCGTGGCTTCAGGATGATCAGAGGCCACTTCTGTTCCAAAATTTAGGCTTCTGCTCTTGAAATTCTGGTGACCGCTGGTACACTATTGATGCAGCCTGGATTAAAATTCCAGCAGTTAAGGCCCATATGACATACTTCTTATTCTCTGCTTCATAATCGAAGAAATGGAGCAGATACTTGTCCCCCAGCCATTCTCTCTCTTCTGCTCTTCGATTTTCATCCTGAATCCATCAACATAACAAGTGAATTAAAATCAATTAAGGCAAATCAAAACCAAAAAGGGTGAGAGGAATACCTTGAGAAATACGAGGGAGAGTGACTGATAAAGTTGTTAAACTGTGTAATTTTGATCAACATTGACGCATTTGACAGAGGAATACCTTGAGAAACATTTCTAATGGAGCTTCGAAAATGGCTTCCACTTCTGCAGCATTTGGAACAGGTTTGAATGCTTGCTTATCATAAAGTATGCCCATCACAGGAACTACCGTCATACCACGCTGAACCAACAAGATAACAGTCTTTGAACTTTTAGAGAACAGTTTAGGAGGGGTGGAGAAAATCGTGGAAAAGGTAGAATAGACTGAATTAAACCACGGGACTATAACTGATAGTCAAAGTTCAGCCTAAAAAGTTCGATTACTTAATCAAGCTTAAAAAATTATTTAAATTTAACTTAAAACGAGCTGGGATATATGCACAAGTCAAGCCGAGCCTATCAAGTGTTTGAGCTGAACATGTGGGATTCGTTTTTTAAACGAATTTAAAAAATTGTTCAAGGGCACAAACCAAGCTTAACTCAGACAAAAATGAGTTGAACTCGATCCAAACTTGAATACATCAGTTTGATTAACAGTTCTAAACGTCAATTATTGAACCCCTGACCTCTTGGCCAAGAGAATCTTCCAAAACAATGGAAGTGCTTTTTTTTTTTTTTTTTTCTGTTGAGTCAAAACAATGGTAGTGAATTAAACCGAAGTTACGTCAAATGCAACCATAACACATATGAATAAGAACCACATAGCAAACACCAAATTCTTTTATACCTTGGTTATAAAGGGTTGAAGAACAGTAACAACATTGACAAGTGAAGGGTCCAACCCTATCTCCTCCTTAGCTTCCCTCAACGCCGTCTCAATGTCATCAACATCGCCTTTCTCTGTCTTCCCACCAGGCAACGAAACATCTCCTGCAACCAAACACAACCCATTTCGGTCTTCTCTCTTCAAAATCAACTATGTTAAAGACCAGAATCTAATACATATACCATGAGACTCTGACCAGAGTGAGACGAAAGTGTTGAAGATCGCTTGGTGAGAATTACACGAAGATCACCATTTTCGCCTTCGAAGATGCAGATCAGAACTGCGGCTCTGTTGGATCTCAATCTTTCAGATTGGTTCGCAATTGGGTTTGTCGCAGATTCGGTGTTCGAATCGAATTCTTCGGGAAACAACTTATCTGATGTGTCTCGAATTGTTGGCTCTTCATTGGGATTCTTGTTTTTGGTGTCGTTTAGAGGGCGAAGAGGCTTGTAGATACTAAGCTGTTGCGCCAAGTCTTTCAACCTCTGGGATCCTCCGCGGTAGTTACTGGAACCCATGAGCTATTTGAGAGAGAGAGAGAGAGAGAGAGAGAGAGAGAGAGGGAGAGATTTTCTTTGGGGAATATGAACATGGACCGAATGTTATTGGTCATCTTATACCCCGAGTACTTAGTATTCGGACTTTTTTTGTACAATGCGTGGGTTCGAATCTTCATATTTACATATGCAGATTGATCTATCTACGTTCCTATTTTAAATACCAAAAAAATAATATTATTGATTTTTTTTTTTTTGGTCATTATATTATTGATCATGCATTGACAATTTTGTTCTAGTTTTAAAGATCCATTTAACAGCAGGTTCTGAGAGCCAACCTTTTTTATGTGCGCTGATCAAAGCTATTCTTACCTCTAGCTTATTATATGCTTCAATTTATTTCTTGAAATATGATGAATTAATGAGTTACGTGTATATAATAAGTCCTACTTAATATATCATAACTAATTTGTTAAAAAAATTAAGAAAAAATTATATTAAAAAAAATATTAATTACACTAAAAGTTCCTAAAGTATGAAATTTATCTCATTTTGATCCTCAATATTTTTAATTGTATCATTTTAGTCTCTAAAGTATTAAGTATATTTCTATGTGATCCCTCAAATAGACAGCGTCTAGATTACTAAAATTTTTTTATTATAAACTTGTTACATAATACTTAAATATGAGCAAAGAAATAATTTGGATAACTTTGACAAAATTTTTGCTTAAATTTTGATCAAAGAACTACCCAAATTACATAGNTTAAAAAAAAGATTAATTGCACTAAAAGTTCCTAAAGTATGAAGTTTATCTCATTTTGATCCTCAATATTTTTAATTGTATCATTTTAGTCTCTAAAGTATTAAGTATATTTCTATGTGATCCCTCAAATAGACAGCGTCTAGATTACTAAAATTTTTTTGATTATAAATTTATTACATAATACTTAAATATGAGCAAAGAAATAATTTGGATAACTTTGACAAAATTTTTGCTTAAATTTTGATCAAAGAACTACCCAAATTACATAGTTTTGATTATGAACTATTCAAATTTTGATCAAGAGCTAACAAAATTATACATTTTTTGTCGAGAGTTACAAGTATTTGGTTAACAACTATACAATTTTTTTTTCTCATAGTTAGTATTACGTAACAAACTTATGATAAAAGACCNATTATAAACTTGTTACATAATACTTAAATATGAGCAAAGAAATAATTTGGATAACTTTGACAAAATTTTTGCTTAAATTTTGATCAAAGAACTACCCAAATTACATAGTTTTGATTATGAACTATTCAAATTTTGATCAAGAGCTAACAAAATTATACATTTTTTGTCGAGAGTTACAAGTATTTGGTTAACAACTATACAATTTTTTTTTCTCATAGTTAGTATTACGTAACAAACTTATGATAAAAGACCGTTAGTAATTTAAATGTTGTTTACTTGAGAAATTACATAAAAATATATTTAATACTTAAATGATCAAAATAATACAATTGACATATTGGGACAAAAATGAGACTAACGCTATACTTTAAGGACCTTCACTGTAATTAACCCTAAAAAAAAAACTCACTCCAACTTTGTGGACAATTGTCCTTGCCATTTCTTAGGGTCAGCTAGGGTTACAAAAAGATAGGGTTGGATGAAAAGTACACCATATGTCACAAGGCCAATCAATGGAATCAATTTTGAGTTAAATATGATTTGCCAGATATGAATGTATATTTGAATCTAAATCCTTTATATCATATTTTAGAGAGTCTGATTTAGATATATATCACCAGTCCAACTGTGATCTAATCCGACATGGGTATATATAAATCTCTCTCTCCACCAAGGTTCTAACAGAATAGCTTTTCAAAGCACCCATCATAATTGGTTAATGTTTTAAGTGAATCAATACTCTACAATGTTTCTACATTCAGAAGGATGAATACTGAAGTTTCACACTAAAACATGAAAAAACAATATGACTTATAGCAAGGCCACTTCTATTCATAAGCCAACAGAGAAGGGTTTTTCTCATTTTTTGGAGAAAAGAGAGAAAAATTCCTTTCATCAGGCAAAGAGCAGTTCTGGCTTTCATGATCGTCATTCAAGCTGAAGCTTTGCAGCTGAACTTCTATTTTTCTGAACTGGTTTAAACTATCTCTAAAATGGTAGTATGGATAGCCTTTCCTCCACAACCCTGTGAACTATATTCTGAAAGGTATTGATGTCATAGAATAAGCATTCTGCGCATGGAAGGAGGACCTGCGAGGACACCAAGCAGTCAATAGCTATGCACAAACAAAAACTTCAAATTCATTGGCGATGACTGACCTGGGGGAAGCTCAGAAGGAAGATCTAGAGTGAGTGTCTTGACAATAATACTCCAGGAAGANAACACCAAGCAGTCAATAGCTATGCACAAACAAAAACTTCAAATTCATTGGCGATGACTGACATGAGGGAAGCTCAGAAGGAAGATCTAGAGTGAGTGTCTTGACAATAATACTCCAGGAAGATATTGCTTCACACTTGTTGCCAATTGGCTCCAAAATCTTATTCTTTTCAAAGCCTTGTTTTAATCTGAATGGTAGGCAGAAGATCAGTAAAACTTAACAGGTCTAACGTTTATATATCGGTCTGATAGTCTAAAAAGTACAGCAGACCATGCACTTTGAAATAACCAAGTTCAACATCTCCAGCCCACTGTATCTCCTTTGATCTCCGAGGATAATAACATGCATTACAACCAAATTAATAATAACTAAAAACAACGCATAAAAGTATCCAAAACCTTGGGCTTAAATTTTGGNCTGAATGGTAGGCAGAAGATCAGTAAAACTTAACAGGTCTAACGTTTATATATCGGTCTGATAGTCTAAAAAGTACAGCAGACCATGCACTTTGAAATAACCAAGTTCAACATCTCCAGCCCACTGTATCTCCTTTGATCTCCGAGGATAATAACATGCATTACAACCAAATTAATAATAACTAAAAACAACGCATAAAAGTATCCAAAACCTTGGGCTTAAATTTTGGATTCTGCTCCAGGAAAGCTGGTGACCTTTTGAACACAACAGATGCTGCCCTAATCAGAATCGCAGCAGTTAAACCAAATATCACATACTTCTTATCATTCATTTCATAGTCAAAGAAATGCATCAGCCACAGGTCTCCAGCCCACTGTATCTCTTTTGATCTCCGATTATCATCCTGAACAACCATTGCAAAATTATATATCTCCGAAGCCATATAAACTCCTAGATAGACAAGAGGCAAACTCAGAGTCGGAATTAAAGATTGAAACCTTTAGAAACATTTCCAAGGGAGCGTGAAATACTGCTTCCACTTCAGCAGCATTAAGAGCAGGCTTGAAGGCTTTCTTATCAGAAAGTATGCCAATGACAGGAATTACTATAATGAGGTGCTGCATACGAAAGATAAAATTGTTAGTATGTTACATCAGAAAAAATGCAGAGAAACACTAAATTTGAAGTTTCAAGCCTAGGTTTTACATATCAAAGGATGTCCAGTGTATGCGTGTCACTTGATGATCAAATTCTAGAAACCTTCTCATTAGGACATATGCTACCAATAGGATTTTCAAAGAATTACAATGGTTCAATAATTTGTGAATGTGTATTGAAATGCCAATGACCCTCAACAGAAGTAACTATGTACATGCAATTCATCAATAATGTCAAAAGACTTCTCCTGGAGACATCATGATCCTGCCCACATTGACATTAACTAAGCTGGTGTAAGGATGATGCTGTGAAAGGCATATTATACTTACCAAGGACAAGAACTGCTCAAGGGTAGTCACAATATTCACAAATGAAGGATCCAAGCCTATCTCTTCCCTGGCTTCTCTAGTTGCTGTCTCGACATCATTTGCATCTGCCTCCTCTGCCTTCCCTCCAGGCAACGCAACTTCACCTGCGGCCAAAACCACTTATTTTGGTGAAATCAACAAAAACCAATACCCCCAAAAAAAAAAAAAAGCAATTATTAGTGACAACAACAGAGTGTTGCTAAGAAAACTGAACAAGAATACATTAAAAACCATAATCACTATCATCAAGAGAAAATATGCATTTCCTTCAATGAACAGAAAACAAGAACAAAGTCACACAAATCTCCATAGCCAACATCATAGAACAAAAAAAACAAATGGAACCAATGAACAAATACTAAATCAAATAAACCCATACATGCACAATCTTCATAATCATGTCATACCAAATGAACCCATGTGGTCATTAGACCGACCAATACATATAACGCCCACTTGTCAAACTGGAGAAAATCCATTAGTTTAATTGCCTTAAGATTCATTTGCTGCATACAAGCATATTGATCATCATCATCAACGAAAGACTCCCAATAGCACCTATTCACATGCAACCATCATCAACAACCAACAATACCCGCTTGCTAAACTATCAAAATTGTCATTGGCCAAAACTTTTAGGCCCTTACACACTATAATGATCATCATCAACCAATGACACCGAGCTGCTAAATGAAAACAAACCACTAGGTATATTTGCTCTAAATTTCCACACAAATACACCTTTGGGAATGAATCTACGGGGCTATCACCTTCTTTGGCCAAATCTTCCAACCTTTTCACAATTACAGTTCTCTGCCCCCTTTACTAGAAAGTAAAAGGGCTTGCTATTTTTTCCATCATCCAATCCACAACAAATCGAATGAAACCTAGCGAAAAAGAAGTGAACACTTTGCTAAGGAACAAAGCTTCATGTTTGTTTTTCTTCAAACCCCCAACCCGCTCTCGCTTGCTGCTACTAATGGTGTCTCAGTTGATTTCCCTTCCTTTAGCTACTCAGATGTTTCAGTTCGCTAAGTTTGAAAAGTCCAAAAAGTCCAAAGAGGGCAGACTGCCGANTTCCCTTCCTTTAGCTACTCAGATGTTTCAGTTCGCTAAGTTTGAAAAGTCCAAAAAGTCCAAAGACGGCAGACTGCCGATAAGAAAGGAGACAAGAACTTCAATAAACTAAAGGAGCGGAATCTCCTCCAATTACCGCTTGCGGATCTATTTCATATAAGAGTTATAACACTCTAATTAACTGACAAAGTGTCCTCTGTTCACTGAGGTGGTTGTAATTGCAATATTGACTTTTTTTTATCAAGATTAGGTTGGTGTTCAGTGTACCTTAATACAAGATCGAAAATTCATCATCAACCAAATAAAGCAACCAGTAACAATATACACAACTCAAGACAATCACTTGCTAAATAATCAGAAATCAGTGGTTAAATTGCTCAATCCAATAGAAAAGCATTAACTTGAGTGAGTAGAAAGCTTGGAAGCCCTCTTAGTGAGGATGACACGAAGATCACCATCATCCCCTTCAAAGAGACAGATCAGAACTGCAGCTCTCTTGGGTCTGAACTTTTTTGGCTCATTGGCCATTGGGGTTGCAGACTCTGGAAAACCCACTTGAGAAACAGCCTTCCCGGCACTGTCTTCAATGCTTTCCTCTTCAACATCAATTTCATAAATCGATCGAGGAGGTTTATAGAGACGAAGCTCTTGAGCTAAGGCTACGAGCCTTGGGGAACAACCACTGAAACCGTCGGTTTGTGAATCCATAGCGAGTTTGGAGAGAGAATTCGGAGATGCCATTGATATTGTCGCTCTTCTACGAAGTCAGAGCTCTTCTACGTTTTGGTAGTATCAACTATTTCAGAAATGGATTGGGGACCATTTTTTCATATTTAATAATAAGAGTTTATTATTTTATTGGGTAGTCATATGTTTTCCTCTTGAGTAAGGATTGATGACTGCTTCTTAGCCTATTTAATTTATAAATCATCGTTAGTTTATCTGGACTAGACAGGAACAAGACACTAACCCATCGGAACTAGAGGCCCAAGCCTCTGTCCTCCATACCCTTTCTCAACGCTGTGTCAGTGACATTGGCATCGCCTTTCTCTGTCTTCCCACCAGGCAATGAAACATCTCCTGCAACCAGAGAAACCCATTCGGTCTTTTCACTTTAAATTGTTGGAGTATAGATAATCGATAGTCTAATTTATTAGAATTTCTTTTTTTTTTTTTATCTTTACTATGATTTTTATATGTTGCCTAAACTATAAGGATGTTTAAGTCACTCTGTATTATTTTTGGATATATATACGGGGCTCTACTCTTAATTTGAGTATCCCTTTTCACTTACGTTTATTCCAAGTTGGTATCAGAGCCATACACTAACCCTACCTCAAACCCTAACCTTCTTCCTAACCTTAGCCTCCACTGAGACTGCCTCACCGGCAAACCACCGAAACAAGCCTTCCTACCTATCCTTCCACCGACTGCCTTCCACCGAAACAAGCCTTCCACCGACTGCCTTCCACCGACTGCCTTCCCACCTATCCTCATAACAGTCTTTCAGCCTCTAGTCGAAACACCGAAACAAATAGCCGCAACACCGAAACANCTTGTGAAGACTTTATCATATTAAATTATCCTTTTTTTTAATATCCTAGGTGTCTGAAGATAAATTTATGGACGATGATCTTAGGTGGTTGAGCTACTACTAGAGTAACCCCTTTCCAATTTTGTTCTCCATGGGGTATTATTGATATGGAAAATGTTATGCTTATTAAAAATTTTTACTAAATCTTTTATATCAAATGATGAAGTATAATCTATGTCATTTAATATTAATAGGACCCACTTATTTGATATTGAAAAACGGTACCACATCACTTGAGGTGGAGATTTGATAAAAAAAAATAAAATTGGTAAGTATAACATTACCGTATTAATATTAGTTTATGCATTCAAAAATTTGTTCTAGGTTTATAGATCCTATGATTTGGGTGGATAAATTATACTTTGACCCTCTAAACTATGGACTTAATTTTACTTTGTCCTTTAAAGTATTGAATTTTTCATATTATCCCCTCCACTGTTTGAATTATTTCACATTTCCCTAATTACAAACTTATGTTATTTTTTTAGATAAAAATTGTTGATGTGTCGAGACAAAGTGAAAAAATTTATATAATTCAAAGAATAAAATGAAACGACGTCCCATTAAATATGTAACGGTTGTTCATAATTGATTAATGTGAAACTAAGATCATANGTGAAAAAATTTATATAATTCAAAGAATAAAATGAAACGACGTCCCATTAAATATGTAACGGTTGTTCATAATTGATTAATGTGAAACTAAGATCATAAATGAAAAACACAATAGTTGAAGGCGTCAAAGTGTAATTTGTGCATCACATTTCTTTCCTTAACGTTCGTTGGCCAAAGCTTTTGTTGGTCTAGCTTTCTGGACCATTGTCTTTTGTACTTCTCACGCTGGATTTTGCACGTGCAGGGGTCAGATGGGGGCTATAACAAGATATGGTTTGATGGAAACTACAACTAATGTATAAAGCTCGTTAAGGGAGTTGATTTTGATTCGAATCTAATTAATCGAATATGATGGTCTATTTAATCCCGAATCTATATCATCTTTCAAAAATTTTGATATTTGAATACCTAATCCCACTGTGACCCAATGAGAAACCTTGCAAACTCAAACGCTATCTTCATATCATAGCTTTCCAATGCAAATAATGCTATATAAACTTAAAATACAAACTTGATCAACCACTGCTTGATTTTACTTTGAATCCTAGTATTTATTAGGACTTCTTATCATTCAATGATTGTGATTGATCAAGTCACAAGTGACATTTTTCGACACCCATCAAAATTGGCCCAAGTGAATGAAGATTGTATACAATATTTCAATGTTTCCAGATATCAACATTGAAGTTCCACAGAAAACACATTTACAAACAATCTGACTTATAGGAAGGCCACTGTCATATTTAAGTCAGCAGAGCTTTGGCTATTATAATTTTCATTGAAGCTGAAGCTTTGTAGCTCTTCTTTTTTGCTGAACAGATCTAAACTATCACACTTGCAAACTCAAACTAACTCCAAAACTGAGAAATTATCCCAAGATGTCGATGCAGTGGAATAAGCATTCTGTGCACCGAAGGATGCCCTGCGAGAACACCAAGCAGTCAAACGAAAACTTTGAAGTCATTAACGATGACAAACCTGGGGGAAGTTTAGGAGAAAGACTTGGAGCGAGTTTTTTGTCAATAAACTCTACGAAAATGTTACTTCAGACTTGTTGCCGATTGCCTCCAACATCTCGGAGTTCAGTTCTTTTCAAAGCCTGGGTTTAGTCTAAATGAGCAGCAGATGTTCAGTAAAAAGTGCAACAGATCAGCAATAAAATTACCAGTTCAACACGTCCAGCTCAGAGAGGACAATAATATGGTTAAAAACAAAACTAAATTAAAATAAATCTAAGCATTATTATGTCCACAATCCAAGGCACCTTAAATTTTGGATTCTGCTCCAAGAAAGCCGGTGGTCTTTTGTAAACAACAGATGCTACCCGAATCAAAATCCGAGTTAAACCAAATATCACATACTTCTTATCATTTGTCTTATAGTCAAAGAAATGAACCAGCCACATGCCTCTCCTCCACTTCGTCTCTACTGATCTCCGATTTTCATCCTGAACCAACCATTTCAAAATTCAACCTCCAAAACCATATGAATTCCAACTAGATAAAACGTGAATAAACAGAGTTGGAAGTAAAGTTTGAAACCTTGAGAAACATTTCCAATGGAGCATCAAATACTGCTTCCACTTCACTAGCATTAGGAGCAGGTTTGAAGGCTTTCCTGTCAGAAAGTATGCCAACAACAGGAATTACTCTAACGAGGTGCTGCATACGAAAGATAAAATTGTTAGTGTGTTACACAAAAAAAAAAAGGGTAAATTGCATCGTCATCTCATGAACACTACACTCCCTTCTGCTTTGATTGTCGGTAATAGATTCACCATGCTGTTTAGCGTTCTATTAAGAAACCGTTAATGGTTTAATGAGGTAAGAATCAATATATCGAAGATACTAGTATTACTCTTCTAAATCCTAAATAGCCAAATATCGCAGGAAGTATAAAGGGCTTTCAAAGAATGACAATGGTTCAAAAATTGTGTTATGTGATTGCAATGCCAAAAACCCTTCGCAGAAGCAACTATGTCGCCAATAATGTTAAAACAACTCTCCCAGAGACATTATGATCCTGCCCAAGTGGAGATTAACTAAGCTGGTGTAAGGATATTGCTGCGATAGGCATATTATACTTACCAAGGACAAGAATGGCTCAAATGTAATTACAATATTTACAAATGAAGGATCCAAGCCTATCTCTTCACTTGCTTCTCTAGTTGCTGTCTCAGCATCATCTGCATCTGCCTCCTCTGCTTTCCCACCAGGCAATGCAACTTCACCTGCAGCCAAAACCACTTATCTGGGTGAAATCAACAAAAACAAACACAAAAAATGGAAAATTATTGGTGACAACAAAAGACTCTTGCTAAGTAAGCTGAACAAAATTAAAAGAGAGAATTACACCTAGACTCCTTGAGGTTTATTACTTAATCACTGAGAACCCTAGATATTTAAAATATTACACACAGACTCTCTGAAATTTGTATGCGCATAACACTTAGAGCCCTGCTATAAATATATCATTTAATAAATTACACCCAGACTCCCTAAAGTTTGTAAACATATATTAATAAGACTCCTTAAGTTTAAAATCTTATAGTTAGACCAAAAATACTTCAATTAAAGATAAAATATTAAATATTTTAAATTTTACAATTAAAATTCATGTTCTATTGTATCATTTGTTGAAATAAATTCAAAAATAAAAATTCAAATTTTTCTTAAAAAATCGTAATTAGTATACAATTATATTGTTTATTAGAATTTAATTTGGTCGTTTAAATGACCAAATTAAAATACCAAACTACACTAATTAAAGCTAAAAGATATTGTGTCCATTAAAGTTTGATTCCTTGTTTAATTTTTTAGTTTTATTCTAATAGATAGTCTAATTATATACTAATTATGATTTTTTTTTTTAAAAAAACTAAATTTTTATTTTTAATTTTATTTCAGTAAATGACATAATAGAACATGAATTTTGGATGTAAAATTCATGTTCTATTATGAATGACTTAAACCCCTTGTTTGATTTGTTAGTTTTATTCCAATAGATAATATAATTGTATATTAATTACGATATTTTAAGAAAAAATTAAATTTTTAATTTTAATTTTACTTCAATAAATGATATAATAGACCATGAATTTTAGTTGTAAAATTTAAAATATTTGATATTCTATCTTTAATTAGAATATTTTTTGTCTAAGTATAATATTTTAAACTTAAAGGGTCTAAGTATTATATACCTACAAATTTTAAGGGAGTCTAAGTGTAATTTATTAACAAATATATTTATAGTAGGGGTTTAAGTGTTACGCACGTACAAATCTCATAGGGTCTGTGTGTAATATTTTAAATGTCAAAGGACCTGAATAATTAAGTGACAAATCTCAGGAGACCTAGATGTAATTCTCCCAAAATAAAACAATACAAACCATAATCAGTAATCACCATCATCAACAAAAAAGCATCCATTTCCTCAAATGAACAGCAAACAAGAACGAATACAAAATTCTCCCAGTCCACATCATGCAGAAGAGAAGGAATTGATTAATTAAACCAATCAATAAATATTTAACATAAACATCAAAATCTAACTGCACCCCATCTCTGATATGATCAAATAAACCAACTTATACACGCACAATCTTCATAATAATCGTCATACCCAAGGAGCCCATATGCTTAATTAGACGGTTGTGTTTTGTGTGTGCGATGAACAATCAATTTAACAGAATAATAGAAAAATAATACAAGAATTTACGTGGATTGACAATTTGTCCACATACACGATCCTAGCGGCGGATTTATTTTTATTCCACACTGAATTAGGGTTATAACTTAACTTATTTATGTTACAATCTAATTAGGGCATTCCGAAGGCACGTGCTGCTCCATACCGTACAACACCCACTTGACAATCTGAAGAAAATCCACAAGTTAAATTGCCCTAAGACCCAAAACTTCGTTGCATACACAGGATACTCGATATTGGTCATTATAAACCAAAAACAGCCACTAGTAACCAATTAACCATATATACACAATCAAGACAAGCACTAGCTCAATAATCAGAAATCACAAGTTCAATTGCCCAAAATAATTAGAAGGCACTGACCTGAGTGAGTAGAGAGCTTCGAAGCCCTCTTAGTGAGAATGACACGAAGTTCACCATCATCCCCTTCAAAGAGACAGATCAGAACAGCAGCTCTATTGGGTGTGAACTTTTTTGGCTGATTGAACACTGGGGTTGCAGAATATGCAAAACCCAGTTGAGGAACAACCTTCCCTACGCTCTCTTCAGTTCTTTGCTCTTCATCATCAGTATCATCTAACGTCGGAGGAGGTTTGTAGAGACGGAGCTGTTGAGCTAAGGCTATAAGTCTTGATGATTGTAATCGGTTTGGTGCCATTGATAGGGATGCTGTTTATGACCAAAAAAAAAAAAAAGGGTTAATCTCATTTTGCACCCTAAAAGATTGTTCAAATCTCAATTTGTACTACTAAAGATCAAAAATTTCAATTTACACTATCAAAGATAGAAATTTGTATCAATGTGCATCTCCAAAGATAAAAAATCTCAATTTGCACCCTCAAAGATAGAAATTTGTATCAATGTGCACCTAAAATTAAATTGATAAATTATACCTAGATCCCCTCATGTTTGTCACTTAATCATTTGAACTCCTTCACATTTAGAATATTCCCCTTACATCTCATGACGTTTGTGCATGTGTAATACATAACCACTTTTCGTTGATATCTGTTAATATAATCATTAAAAAATATGATTTTATCCTAATAAAAAATTATAATTTCATATTACCTTTTATTTTGTGGATTCGATATACTCTAAAGTTAAAAATCAAGCTTACCATTTGAATGTCTAATAAAATGTAGATATTTATATAAAAGGTAATATGAAAAACATTATATAAATATTTACATTTTATTAGACATTCAAATGGTAAACTAGATTTTGAACTTTAGAATATATTAAACCCATAAAATAAAGGGTAATATGAAATTATAATTTTTTATTAGGATAAAATTATATTTTTTAACGGTTATATTAATAGATATCAATGAAAATGGGTTACGTGTTATACGTGCACAAATGTCATAAGATGTAGAAGTAATATTCTAAATGTGAAGAGGTCTAAATGATTAAGTGACAAGTATGAGGGGATTTAAGTATAATTTATCAATTTAGTTTTTAGGTGCACATTGATACAAATTTCTATTTTTGAGGGTGTAAATTGAGATTTTTTATCTTTGGGGTGCACATTGATATAAATTTCTATCTTTGAGGGTGCAAATTGAGATTTTTGATCTTTGGGGGTGCACATTGATACAAATTTCTATCTTTGAGGGTGTAAATTGAGATTTTTGATCTTTGAGGGTGCAAATTAAAATTCAAACAATCTTTCGGAGTGCAAAATGAGATTAACCCAAAAAAAAAAGATAGGGATGGTGTTCAGTGAGAGAATTCCCTTAACTTTTGGTGGGTATCAACTGTGCACAAGTGCCTCGGCGTCTGGCCACCATTTTAAAAATTATATAATAAAATAAAAGTGTGTTTAAATTTTATCTCACTCATATTTTTTTCCCTCAAAACTATCACCAATTACTTACCTCATCCATCATTCTTTTGTCAGATTCAAACGTCAAATCACATCACTCATTTCTATCACATATTTGATTATTTATATATTTCTTCCCTAAAAATATCACATAACTCATTTCTATCATATATTTAATTATTTAATATTTAATTAATTTATAATTAATATATTTTAAAAAAATTTAATATAATAGGATCGATTTTTTAGACGCTCCAACTTTATATTTTATCGTGCCTTTAAGCACGGGTTATAACTAGTCTAATAATAAGAGTTGACTAGTTTTAATGATATGGACGATAGCCAATTATAGGGGAAGGCTACGGTACTGCTGGCCAAAATTCTGTACTGTACCGAAAAGTTGCGGGGCCTTATCAGACGAAATACAAAAAAGAAAACAGTAGAGCATAAAAGAACAATCGATTAAAAGGGTTACTTGCAAGTTGAACTACTAAATTATAATCGATCAAAATTTATAATGATCTATCGAACTTTACTTTTGAGTTACAACAAAGTAGATGAAGGTAGGGGTTGCTAGGTAACAATAGGTAAAACAAAGATCGATCACTATAATTATGTTCGATCAATTTTGTAATTATGTTCGATTTCAGAAGGAGTGTGATCGAAAAAATGTTATGATCGATTGTAAATTTAAATGATCGATCGATTGATTTTTTAAAATGAGTTACAACAAGATGGATGAAGGTGGTGGTTACTGGGGAACAATAGGAATATTTTTGATCGATCGATGTATTTATAAATTGATCGATCATAAAACTTATGATCAATTAGTTTATAAATATGTTCGATTTTTGAAGGAATGAAATGTTTTGAGATTGAACAAATAAATTGTGGTTAATAAGACACTGAATGTTTTGTAATCGATCTAATAATGATAGATTGATCATTAAATATATGATAATTTACAGCCAAAAAAATTCGAAATAATAATCATTATTTTATGGGTTGTGATCGATCAATAAAATTACGATTGATCAACAAAAATTGTTCAATACAAAATACATTAATTTCGATTTGAATAAAAGATATGAAACTACAAAAAACACCTGATATAAATAGAGGGGCATAAGCTAATAGATGTTGGGTTTTTTTGTCATTTTGCACCTTAAGTGCTATCGATACCCATTGCAGGTGTATTACCCCGCCATTANTTGTGCTGATATAAATTCGAAATAATAATCATTAATTAATGGATTGTGATCGATCAATAAAATTAGGATTGCTCAACAGAAATTGATCAATACAAAATACATTAAATTCGGTAATTCGAAATAATAATCATTAACTTATGGATTGTGATCGATCAATAAAATTATGATTGATCAACCCAAATTGTTTAATAAAAAATAAATTAAATTCGATTTGAAGAAAAGATATGAAATTACAAAAAACACCTTATGTAAATATAGGGTATAAGGAAATTACTGATGAGTTTGTTTGTCCTTTTGCACCTTAAGTGCTATCGGTAACCACTGCAGATGTAACCTTCCCGCCATTACTGAGTTCTCTCAAACCCTAATCCCCTTTGATGTTGAACAAATTAGGAATACTACATACCCCCAATCGACTGTAGTCCCTAACAGCAAGATCTTATGTACATTGAATCAAAGAAGCTGTAATCCTTTCTAGATTGAAATGGTCGGAGGAAAACCCGGACCGACAAAGAAGAGGAAGGCAATGAATATGACAACAAAGCAAGTCGGTAATGCCCAGAAGAAGAATGATGGTGAAACAGGTAAGAGTTCGAATGTTGAAACTGGTTTCTTGAATAAAGAAGCAAAAACATTGTTTGAAACATGTTTTTGTCATCGACCATTGTTAGTGGAACGAGGCATTGCACTTGGTGAGCTAGTTAATACTAACTGTCCAAAGTTTTTTGGAGGTCGTAATTGGGAGAACATATTTGATGTTAAGAAGGATGCTAAGGTATATAAGGATGTAGTTAGATTATTTTTTGCAAATTTACATGACTTCGATAAGGTTGGGCAGACTTTGAAGTCTGTAGTTAGGGGTAAAGAAATAGAAGTTTTCCTTGATTTTATTTCAATAATGTTGAAAGTTCCCAGGCTTGTCATCTGTGAGAATACCATTGTATTTCCTTACAAAAGTAAAGAGAAAGTCCCTAGCATGGAAACGGTTATTGAGACAATTTGTGATGTTGCTATAGAATGGGTGGATGAGAACAGTAAAATATATCAGAAAGACCTTCATTTGACTTATAGGATGTTAAACATAATAGTTGCTTGTAACATTAATCCCAAAGGACATATAGCTGAACTTGGATATGATAGAGCTCAACTTCTATATGCGATTGGTAAAGGGGCATGCATTGACCTTCCCCATTACATATTTCAGCTGATTATAAATGCCTATGAGTTGCAGGATAGCAGACAAAGTCTTTCATTTCGTATTTTGATTACTAATATTGTGAAGACATATGGGGTTGTGATTGAACCTAGGGAATTGTATACTGCTGCAATGGGTATGATAAATGAGGGTACTTTGAAAAAAAGTGTTGGTTATGCTGGGCCTAAAAATTGTGTCAAGACTGTGTCACAGGTGTCTTACTCCCAAAATGAGGGCATTCCTGTGACAGAGGGAGAGGGTTCAACTGCCAGTCCATTCAACATGAATAATATTGGAGAAAAGCTGGAGCAAATATTAACTGGGCAAAAATATTTAGCCACACAGTTGCATGCCGTTCAAGAAAGCATGAAGGGATCTTTGGAAAAGTTGGAGAGTAAGATTGATGGACTGTACAAGGAATTTAAAGAATTTGGAAAGAAATGTTGATGGGTTTTATGTGGAAGAAATTTGTATGAATGGAAATGTGTATATGGTTGTAAATCTTTTGAGCCATGTTAGACTTGGCGATCTTGTAACCTATAAATATGTAATCAGATATGATGAACAGAATTTTTTGGGAATGGAATGAATTTTTTTGTTGTATGGTGTTATTAATTTTAGTTTGGACAAATTCATTATTTCCAACAACATTACTGTAGTATATTAACATCAAAATGTTGTAAGCTTACATCAACATGTAGTAACCTTTCAACAACTTGTTATAACCTCACCACAAAAGGTTATACCTGATATAAGGGTACCTTATTACACTGACAGGAGTAATACCAAAAAGCAATGGTACATGTATAGAACAGTAGTTCCTCCCTCTTAGCCATCTTTGTTTAACCCCTAAAATTCAAATACTTTCCCAAACCAAAATCCCAATTGCACATAAGTGAAATAGTACATAATATTTGTTAGTTAAACAACAAAGCAGAATACATTGGAAGAAGAAAGCAACAACATATTGATCAATTGGATAAGCAAGCGTGCAGAGGATAAACATGTAAATGAGACTAGTAATATAAAGGATTAGGTGAATTCTACCTGGTTTCTAATGGTTATATAGCAGTGGTAGTAGTTTGGCACTCATGATTTGTGTACATGAAAGTTGTCCCAAAATCAGTTTCGTACATCAAACTTGTCCAAAAGTGGGGGGTTGTACACTGTGTAAAAAAATTTTGATTTTTTTCGTAAATATAAATTACGTTGATTATGCAACTTTACAAGCGATATGCAAATGCTCGTCGTGACAACCCTTAAAGCCGAGTGAAAAAATGTCCATGACCACTTGAGTGAAAGTCATGAAAGTCATCCTAAACAGTCAATGTATCGATAAAGAATGGTCAGTTAAATGGTGCATTGCTTGATAACATAAAAAACAGCAAATACAAGGGGTACTTTGTGTTATAAAGATGATATTG